AAGCTGCGCTCGGTTTCCCTCGACAAAAAAGCAATGGGATTTCTCCAAAGGTTTTGGAAAATAGCTCGAAATAAGGTCAGTGGAAAACGAACCTGTTAGATAAATGCACGTTTTGTTAAGTCGGATAATATCCACATGTCTACCCTACTTTTATAATTTTCGAATCATAAATCTAGCCGTTAGAAAGTAGCAAGCAACTGAAGCAAGTGCAATTATGGAGGGTGGAGATTTGGAGTATTTAATCAAAAATAATTGTACTAAACTTCCGCTACAGCAGCAACAACAAATAAAATCTGATGACAGGCCAATGCCCATACCGGAGCTGTGTGCAGAGAGGAAAAAAGGAGCGAATCGGATTTAAAACGTTAAAGGTCTCCTGATTTAGTGTGTGAATGAATGCTTATTAGAGTTTCGGCTGGAGAGTGCGTGCGGACCTGTCGGTTAGATAACAGGCGTGTGTAAGTCCTGCATCTGTATGATACAAATGTGTGTAAAATGATACCGGGTGCTGTAATCACTCATCTGGTTACGTTATTACATTGACCACCACACCCCCGACCCAAAAGAAAGGATGTATTATTGGCTTCCCCTCATTTTTTAGCCACGCCACGCTACTGCGTGTGAGTCACTTCACCCGCCAACATTTTTTACAGCTGGGCTAACAACTGCAAGCTGTGACCTTACAAGTTGCAACCGTGACTATATAACCTTTATTTCACCCAGGGGCGAAAATCTAAGTGCAAATCATCTTTATATTGCAAAACGTTCCGATATTGCCTCGGCCTAGTTTTGATGCACGATCCCAATAACCTTTATTTGTAACAATATGACTTATTAATGAAATAAAAAAGCACTGTGATGTCACTGGATGTGTTTTTTTTCGTATCGGCACAGAGAACAATATCCCTTAATGAAAGAACTGTAGGAGAGAAATAAAAGTGATGCAATATTGTGCCAGCTCTCGACCGCAGGCGCTTAATTCTGGTGGGTGAATTTGGTTGCCAGGGAAACAGAGCATCCAGCAATGCAGAAGTGCTTAAATATATTTTTCATGAGACTGTATAAAATGGGGAAAAGAAGGTGAACGGAGGGCGGTGGTGTCAAAATGTACTTGCATAACTGTTTGAGCGTGGCTACAGGTGTAGCAGCAGGTGGGCACAGAGACCCTTTATCGACAGTCACTGTTGTGGTGTGTGATTGTTATCAATTATAGCAGGATCATATCATAAGTAAGGGATAATGTGCAGCGAGGCGGTCATTATGGGTAAAAGAACACCCGACAGGCTGATCAGGAGCCCGACGCGAAGCGGAGGGATCTTGATCAGCATGAAGTGCATGCAGTTTGCTTTTCGGCCAAACTGTATACAGTTAAATCGACCGGACTTCTTTCTGCAGATGTGAGCGTCCGTCACAACGGTCAATAAGTCCTTAACAGCGGTCTGTACTACTGGATTAACAACGTGCCGTGTTCTGAATTGACCAATCAGAATCGAGTATTCAACTAAGCCATGTAATAATACAGCTTAAAATACATAGCCCAAAGGCAATGTAAGGGGGTGGTAATCGTAGAAAATCCCCCATGTAAATAAATGTAAATAAATTCTAATTGCCATTATGTTGTGTTTGTTTGATATCTTAATCGGTATGCATGCTGGAAAAGTAAAGGGAATGGATCCTGTGTCGACACATGGAATACACTTAAAGCTGAACTACAATACAAGTATTCCAAGTTTTATTTTCTCCTGTCTTGCGCCTTCTCTAATAATTTCCCAGCTTGAGGAGCACATCAAAAGCCTCGGTGGCTGCTTCTTAAAATCTCACAGTTGACTGGCTATCAAATTGTGTGCATCAGTGATGATGATAATGCCGGGTAATAATGGTTGTAACGCATGATAAGCGGGCAACATTGCAACATCCAAGACAGCAGTTTGCAACAGGCTCAAACTGGATGAGACACAAGTTTTGCAGACCTCTCTATCTAAATTTCTAATCTCTCTTGCGCTGTCAGAAGGCTTCTAGGGCTGTGGCGAAAACGTTCTGGTTAATCATGCAAGACTCCTCGATATGAACCCAAAAAATGCTTTGCTCAGTGAAAGCTTTATTCAACTGCTGCATTAATGTATTCCAGCTTCAGGGTGTCCGCGGGGTCTTAAAAAGTATTAAAAGTTGATAAATCAATTTAGCGAAGATTAAGGCTTTTAAAAAGTATTAAAAAGTATTAAACGGCATTTTCCAAGGTATTAAGTAGTCCCACAGCAACGACAACATGAAACACCCTTTAATTTACTGAAACGACATGTCGGGAAACCCCCTCAAGGCGGCCCCCATAGCGCGCCGTAAAATGCTGCTTATTATTTTAAGTTTCGTTGCCTTGCTCCGCTCTGTGGGGGGGGGGCCCAAGGTGGGTATACCGGCATACGCAACGCTCTGGGGGTCCAACGGCTCCGTGTGTAAGCCCTATATGATCATTTTCTGATTACGATTAAATAGCCCGCCTCCCTCTCCCAACGTCTCCTGCTGCTGCTGGGCTGTCAGAAGAGGGGGAGGAAAAGAGAGGCAGGCACCGTTTATTAAATATTATTATACAGAGAACAGAGTCGTCATCAATTTGTTTTAAAGCTCAATAAATAACAAAGAAGACCTCTGATC